AGGCAGTGAACACAGAAACTGTAGAGTAACCATCGAGCCACAACAAACCATGGCAGAGCCCACAGAGTCACCTGATTTTGAACCATCCCTATAAACGGGAATAGAAGGATGGTTTGAAAGCTGTTCGGCAAAGAGAAGATGGTATTTCCAATTGGGAGTACCTGCCTTTCTCAGATGACTCAAGGAAAGATCACATTTGAGGATGCTAATAAGCCATGGTGGAATGGGCTGATCATTGGGGACAGCAACGTCATCCAATGTCAGACCCAATTCAGCCAGTTGTGCTTGGATACGAAGGCCAAAGGTAGGAATGACAGACCATCTGTTCTGAGAGAGCACAGCCCACTGAGGAAGAAAGACACAACCCCAGGTGAGATTCTGTGGTAAGGATCAAAGCTTGGTAGTATACTGCAGAGAAATTTGCAAATGACAGAGGTGAAGAGGGGGTTTGTGGGACTCAGTGTACAAACTCTGGACGGGTGAAGTGTGGAAAGTCCCCGTGCAGAGCCGAAGCCCCAGATGATGAATGGGGTCCAGCATATTCATGCTGAGGTCCTGGCAGAACCATAGATCAGAGACCAATAGTCTAGTTGAGATCGAATAAGGGCACGAGGGACCTTGAACATAGAACATTGATCCACTCCCCAAGAGGCGGAAGAGAGGACATGGAGGATGTTCAGTGCCCTTGTACACTTGACACGCAGTTGCTTTATTTGAGGAATGAAAATAAGCTACAGTCAAAGATAAGCCCCAAAAACTTTGCCTCAGGGACCAGGGGAAGAACAACATCACTGAGATGGAGCTCAGAATCATGGTGTAGACCCCATTGGTAGCAAAAACACATGCAAATGGTTTTGGAAAAAGAAAAGGTAAAATTGTTTGCTGTGGTCCACTTCAACAAACAATTGAGGGCAGTCTGAGGCTACTGTTCAATAAACCTCATGATCGACGACCAACATGCGATGTGGAAGTCATCGACATAGAGTCTGTTTGCAACAGTAGGAGGAAGTTGTGTAGTGGAAGTTGGAATTTCCTGTTGAGTAAAAAGTTCTGAATAAAAATGGGTAGATTGCCATGCAACCCATATGAGTAGAGATACCACAAAATGCTGTACTTCCACGTAGTGTTGTAAGCCTTCTCAAGATAGATGAAAACAGAAAAAAGATATTCCTTCTTGAGAAAGGCTTCCATGATTGTGGTCTCAAGTCAAAACAAGTGGTCCACAGTGGAATGCTGTCGGCGGAATCCACACTAGTTGGGCAAGGGGAGGAACCAAACAAGACAAGCATTAGCCATCCTCTCTACGACCTTACAGAGAAGGCTAGTCAAAGTGATTGGGTGATGATTAGAAGGAATCTTGGGATCTTTAATAGGCTTAGGAAAAGGTAGGATAATAGCCTGGCACCAAGCATCAGTAAAAATGTTCTCCTGCCAGATCCAGTTAAAGATAACCAGAAATAGTGCTAGAGAGGCAGGAGAGATATGGCACAACATCTCATAGTGAACCTCATCAGGTCCAGCCAGTGTACTGCCAGACTGATGAAGAGCAAGTTCGAGTTCCACCAGTGTAAGGGGATGATTATAGTCATAGAGATAATCTGCCCAAAGGGAAAGAGGTGATCACTCTGCTCAAGACTTGATGGTCAAGAAGGCAGGGGAAGAAACAGAAGTGCTAGATGCACGAAAAAAGCTCTCGCTGAGAGTATTGGCAATGCTCTGTACATCAGCAACTTCAAGGCCATTGGAGAGCAAGATGGAAAGGGGATGGGAAGCTTATCTCTCATTGACCTTCCGAATCTTGTCCCATATGATTTTGAAACTAGTGGTTGAAGAGATGTTAGTTGCAGACTTAATCCAAGATTCATTTTGGCTTTGATGTCTGGCCGGCTGAGCATGGACATGGGCCCGTTGGAAAGCAATGCGGTTGGAAAGAGTGAGATACCTGCAAAAGGTATCCTAGGCCCATTTTCGAGCCTTCTGTTCTGCTGGCAGGCTACCGACCACCATGGATGTGGATACATGTGGGAAACATGTCGAGGTTTTAGGTATAGAATGAACAACTGCTTGAATGATACAATCAGTTACTGCTTTCACACAGTCATTAATAGATGGAAGACTAACGACAGCACGATCGAGTTCCAAGAGAGAGGTGAAAGAGAGCCAATCAGCCTGGTCCAACTTTCATTATGGCACTTGGCTCAGGTGGCATCGATCACAGTCATTCTCCATCACAATAGGAATATTATCACTGCCCCATGGGTCACTGTCAACTCTCCAAGAGAAATGCGAGAAAAGTGAAGAGAAACGGATAGAGCAATAGCAGTAAAAGATTGACTAGGTGAATAAAAATAGGTAAAGGAACCAGTATTGAAGAGAGAGAAAGGTGGTGATCCAAGAGCACACACTCTATGGAACGACCCCTCCCATCAAAATCAGCAACAAACGAGAGGGCATTGTGTCCATTAAAGTCTCACAGGATTACAAAGGGAGACAGTAAAGTCTGGTTTATCATAATACTCTCCAGGAGACAGGTAGTGAGACCAAACAGTGATGGTATGACCCAAGGAAACATGGATGGCTATGGCCTCCAAGGGTGTATTGAGTGGCACAGACAAGTTGGGCACGTGAATTGACTAGCAGTGCCACCCCTCGATGCACTCATCCATCACGCAACCTATCATTTCGATATAAAAAACGCTGCTCACTGTATCAGCAGGTTTCAGGAAAATTTCCTGTAAGGAAAGACACACAGGATGATAGGAGTCGATCAAGGCCTTAATGTCATCCAGATTAGAATGGGAACCTCAACAGGTCCACTGTATCAAAGTGACCATTTTTACTTAGATGGAGGAGAACTGGGTGGAGAATCCTTCTGTTTTTCTTTAATAGAAAGAGGTCTGTTGACCTCCATGGATCCTGCTCTGAGTCAAGTGGGCAGGTCTCTGTTAGTAGACATAGATTCCAGCAATTGAGAGCATGACCAAATAATTGTTCTGCATCTCGGGACCAAAGAAGATGGACTTGAGCAGACACTAGAAGCTGGGGCCAAAGGAGGTGGACCCAGGCAGTTACTGGGAGGAATAGTGGGGATAGAGATAGGAGTAGACATAGATTTGTCAACTTATTTATCCAGAGAGGGCAAAAGACATGGTTTGAGAACGACTCTGTTGGAGGCATGAGAAGATCTGTCTGCACTCCCATTGTAGCAGTGGAACATAGTGCAGATGGAGTGGGGGGGGGGCAATAACTTCTGGGCTTCAGGGTAAGAAATGTTGTGGATGGTATGCAAACGTTGTACCTCTTTCTCCTCTACCCGCTTAGGGCAAGATTGGTAGTAAGAGGAGTGAGAACCACCACAATTGACACAGTAAGGGTCCAGTTGACACTCGAAGGCATAATGGTCTTTGTCACCACAATGAACACACATCAAAGAACCAGGACAAGATGCTTTCGATTGTCCGAACCACTGACACTGGAAACATCTGAGGGGGTATGGCCATACCTTAAAGTTCAGCTAACCTGCTTTGCAAGTGGAGATATGGTGCACAGCAGATATTCCATGGCTAGATAAACCAGCAAGGATCTCCGACTCGGGGATGTTCTTCAAATCCCTCTCAATGATCACACCTCAGGAGGAATTCAAAGTAGCATGAGGAGTAACCTCAATGAGTATATCCCCAATGGCCTTTGACCTCAGGAGGAGTTTGCTATGTGTTGTTGTAGATGTTTTCACCAAAATGTCCCCATACACTATTTCCTTACTGACTTGGGAGAGACAGTGTAACAGAGTCATCAATGCATTGTTGTTTACCTAGGAGCTGTTTTTTACAATTATATTTTTTTCGGGAACCATAATAAATAGAGAATGATTCAGTGCCCACTGACCCCACCCACCATGAAGTCCTACGAGGGGATGCACTACAATGTCAAACAAGATCACTGTAGTAATGCCAGGGCTTCATGAGCACTGTACCCAAACACCAGCATCAGACACAATGTCCACAACACCCATTGAGAATGCCCAACACTGGTACTCAGTTGACCCTAGCCCAACAGGACCAGTTGATTGGCTCTGGGAAAGTGCCACCCCAAGGTCACCCATCTACAGGAATTGAAGGCCAAAGTGGAGTGTTGCAGTGCCCCAGACACCACTTGACCACCAGGATCCTCTCCTCTCCTTCATGGCAAACACATGGATGGATGTTCAGATCCGAGAGTAGGTAAACTGAAAACACAGAACCTTCCCTAGGAGGTCCCCACCATGTACAGGAGTTCACCTCGAGGGGATCATCTTTGGGGTATGATGTGTTTACAGTTGCATTAGATCCATTTTGACATGCAACTGTCACATGCATGTGTCAATTTTCTTGCCAAGTGAACTGTATTAACCCAATCAACAAGTTCTTTGCTTCCTGTTTGCTTTCCTCTCTTTACTGACATCTTTGAGGTAACAAGCTGTGGTTTCTTTTATTTATAAGGCAACACACCATGAAGTTGCAGCACTAATACTTCAATAGTTTTAGCAGCAGTAGTTTCTCTGACTCATTCTAATGGCAGTCTCTTGACTATATTTTAATGTGACATGTTAAAGAAACTTTTGGTTAGTGCCTTTATGGTTTTCCTAATTCATCTTTCTTTCTTCTTTGAAGTCTATTGAGTCTACACTTCAATTATTTATTACAACAGTCTAGTTCTAGAATGTTTTTGAAATTTCTAGTTACTTATTTTGGGGACATGTTTGATTCTACATGCACACTTCCTGATAAAATAAGAAATTTCTAATGTATAGAGAAGATATCTGAATGATCCCCCCTTGTTCTCTCATTTGCTACCTGCAGAATATGTTTTAAGTTAGATGAGACACAACAATAGAGATGATACTATAAACTTGTAGTGATCTTGAGAGAATAACTCATTATAAAATTATTCTTATTTTCCAGCACCTCTATTATTATAGGAAGTTACATACAACTAGTCAATAAAACCAACTATGTACATACCCAAAGACTGGTCATCAGAGTCCATATTAATTCCTGCTTTGTTTGCAATCTCTTCTTGTGCCATTTCATAGGTAACTTCTGGATACTGTTTCTCAGAATTCATGGCTTGTTCAGGATTGTTGTACACATAAAGCTGAGTGGTGCCAAACATTATTCTGGAAAGTAGTGAAATTATTACATTTATTCTTTTATAATTCATCTATTCTTAAATAATTTTTGTGCATTAGTAAATAATAGGCAATATCAAAAGTAAGTATTAAATTAAGTAAAGTTATTACATAGAGAAATTAATAAGAACTTCTCAGTATTTAGCCTAAATTTCATTAATTATTTCAGCTTGTTATCTAAGTGTATGATTTTTATACTTTATACAACAACAAATCAAAGAATGAACTAAATAGCAGACCCTTAGAACATATTTATGTTTCATTTGTATCAAGCTAGTTTTTAAAGTTTTTTTTTTGATGCATAAAGTACAACAAACTTCTTATTGAAATTTTACAAAATTGTCCATCAATACCTTTTGTTAGGATATTATGTATTTTCTTTTAATATATTACTGAGACAAAAATTAATTTCTATCCCAAGTTGAACCACATGAACAAATACATACCAGGCAAAAATGGAAATACTATATATATACATACAATATTAATATGAATGAAAGGTTGTTGGATTTTAAATTAACCGTCAACCGTCATAAATTTCTTTCCTGTAATGTTTTTCTAGCACTATAGTTCACTTAAGATATTTTCTAGGTCCAACTGATCCAGTAATGTTACATTCTAGCTTAGAGATTACTTCTTGTATTAACACAGAAAACAAGTAGTGTAAAATATTAACATGTCAGCCACAATTCTCTTAAAGCCCACCAAAACTAGCAGATGTTTATTTGAAGACTTTCACAATATTTATTATATGCACATATTACAATAATTATACATACATATTATATCACTTATCCTAACATCTCCTCCCCTTTGAAAACAACATAATTATTTTATTCAGCTTAAATGTCAAAAAACATTTCTTTTCCTTCATCATACTGCTAATGCTAATGTCTCTTTAAGTCTTACTGGCTTCTTGGCCACTTTTCCAGAATAAGTTGTCATTTTTCTTGATTCTCCAGTTGCATTCTCAGTTATTGGGAAGCTACATTCCCACTTACTGGAATCTCAATATCTTGAAGTTTTACTGATTCAGTTTCTTGTCCTCTATGAGACACAGTTGCTCCACACTTGGAATTTCCAACTTGGGTTTGAGACCATTTCCTACTTCTTCACCTTCTACCACAACAATGAAAGATCATGGTAAAGAATATTTCTCCATTATTATGGCTGGGATTTTCCGTCTCTTTTTGTCATCTAGTTTAATTCATAAGGTATTGACAGGTTGCAATTCTGGCAATGTCTTATTAGATTGTCTTTTGTTGTTGAAGTGTGAATATGCTTCTTTTGCTCTTTTGTTTGTTGCTATCACTTTCTTTAGGTTAGGCTATTTTAGATATAAATTGTTTGAAAATGATAGAACTGTAGTTCTCAGCAGTTATGTTATTAGTAGCTGTAGTGGGCTTTTACTTGCTTTTATTGGCATAGCTTTGTAGCTCAGGAAGGGATCCTCCTGATTCAGAGTTCTTTGCTGTTTTTACTGCCCTCTCTACCACTCCAAAACAAATGGAAAAAATGCAGGCTGGAGGTTATATGCTGGAATTTGTATATCTTTCAAAATTATTGTAAATCACATATCATTAACTGTGATCTAATATCAGTAACTAATTGCACTGAAATGCTGTATCAAGCAAATATACATTCCAGCTTAGTTAAGACTCGTTTGTTAGATGTGCTTGAAAAGTGCATTATCTCAATGAACCTCAAGAAATAGCTCACTGTCATTAAGTAATGCTGTCCATCATGATCAAAGAGACCTGTCAACAACTTATACTAAAATATATAAGGTAATGGAGTTGTTCCTTGAATTGTATCAGTCAGTTTAAAAACTACACAACTGAAAAGACATTACTCATTCTTTATGTCACTTCCAATTTTAGTCCACAATAAGGACTGTTAAGATCACTTTCTACAATTGGTTAGTATTGGTATCCCTTTAGGATTCTACCTTGTAAATCTCCCTAGATATTCCATTCTTATCACTCAATCAGCTTTATTTGAGCAGCAAGACATTCTCTTGCTCCTTCATCAAGTGGTGATTTTTATACAATAACAAAGCAAAGAATGAACTAAATAGCAGATACTTGATACATGTTATAGACATGATTGGGCACTCATAAATGTATTGAACCAAAACAAAATACTGTCTATTGGCAGCAGTAGCACATTGTTTTTGTAGAAGCTTACTAACATACTCATTGGGCTTTTGGTTTCTATCATATCTACATAAGCTCATACCTCACCTGCAAGTTCAGGATTATCTTCACTTCCTCATTTGACTTCTAAACAATGTGTCACCTTTAATTAGTTTTCCCAGGTACATATTTTGTAGAGGCATTAAACTTCATTAGAATGATTAGAAAGCACAGGCAGTGTAATGGTACTTGATAAATGTCTTTTTTCAATTGGTGAGAGTTACCAGAAGTTTAAGGATTGTGATTAGTTTGAATGTATAGATGGATAACAAACCATCATATACAATACAAGGAGGTGACCACTATCTGTCAATTCTAGCAGGCTCACCACAATCAAAGGTATCTGCTCCAAGGATAAATCAGATATTCATAGTTGTGATTTGTACAAGATAGTTAGAAACAGTATCAAAAGGCTGGTCTGTATTTCAGATGCTCATTGAGGTGTATTTCCTTCATAATAAGAAATAAAACAGCTCAAGTATACATCCAGTAGACCGACAGCATGTTGTGTAACATTCTTCTTTCAGATAAGTTATGCTTTACTTTGCAGCCAAATAATAGGATTATACATATTTGTGGAAAATCTGAAACCAGATCCAACCCCATTTTCATACAGCAATGTAACACATATGGTGGTAGTGAAAGTATAGTTAAGGCTGGAAGAAGCATTAGTGAATGAATTGACCTGTACAATTATGAGAATGGTACTATTCATGATAGATATTATATGGACAACATCCTATAACCATTTTTGCTGGTATGTGCTAATATAAGTGGCCCTGTCATCAGCTTAACGAATCATAATGCCCACTATAACAGAGCTAAACTGGTCAACATGTTTGTTGCAGAATGGTTTGACTAAGTGGAATGACTTGCACATTCACTAGGGTCTTTCTCATCAAGCATGTATGAATGCTTTTGGAGACATATTGCATCCCGTTAAGTCACTCCAGGTAAGAAGGATGCCTTGGAAACAACTCTTTCAGAGGAAGGATAAAGTATGTTTTTGGAACTTATAAACATTCTGAATTTAAGCTGGAAACATCAATATAAGGCTATTAATTGTGGCCATATTTCATATTGAAGGGAAATGTCAGGAATGTGAAAATGTAAAGCCATCTCTACCAAATGTTGTTTACAATGGTAGGCTGAATGACAAAGCATTTGCATTTCAGACCACATGACCAATCATGAAACAGTAGTTCTAAAATGCCATGAATTACAATCATTCTTTAATTACTTTGCGTAGTATATATATATATAAACCTACATCTCATAGTTTCGCTTATTATTGTTACGTCTCCGTTTGTTAATTAACTTTCCGTAACTTCGTTCCGACGAAACTTAAGCGACACAAGTCCTTTTTTAATAAAACTGATTTATTCTTTCCGAATATAACTCTGCGATACACTTAATCTCAATACTCGCGCTAAAACAACACTGTAACGAACGAACGTTAACTTCAACAATACCCTGTGACTGCAGTTCAATTACTCACTATCTATCTATCTACACATTACCTTACCTTACCGCGTCACGTTTTCCCCTCTTATATATATACCAGCCTACCCTAT